AGCATGTCTTTGTAAGTCCCTACTCGGTGGCCAGTGGCCAGTGGCCATACCAACTAGGATTCCATTCACACACAATCCAAGAGGTAGATCTCTCCGTTGGTCAACATTCTGTGATGTCAGCACGATGACCAAGTACTTAGCAATGCTCTTGCTAGGTCCTGTGCGTGTTCCCACCATTCAACACCATATAACTAATGACTGCTCAAACTATTTGCTTAAAAAGAGCTACAGCATTGAATTAACAAAACAAAAGTGTTTAAAAAGTCTTTGGGCATTACTAGGAGGTGATGGCAGTGATTTAGAGAAGAGCAGATATGAGAGCAAGAGACATTTCAGGCATCTCCAATTTGGTTCCTGAAATCCACCAAAAAGTAATTCCTTCATTTGCACGTGTGTCAGCGTATACTCGTCCAGGACTGTCTGATGTCAGGATGTCTCCATGAGCAAGGCTTCAGTGTGTCCAGGAGGTAGAAGACAGCGTTACGGATGTAAACCATTGCACAAAGTGTAGTGTTTTAGATTTTGCAGCCTCCAATTCCACAGCTCCTCTTATTGAGTTGTCCCTGACTTCCTGCTCGTGGTTAAAGGCTTTTTCCTTTTTTGTTTCATAGCGACTATCAGTGTCAGTGACCCAAGCAAGGAAGGGAAATTCTACCTACCTACCGTTTGTACTTAAAAGTTATCAAATGAAAACAACATTTTCTACTGAAGACTCTTTTTCATACAATGTGCCTATGGGGGTCATGGGACAGCACCTTGTTTTCAATTTCGTAGACTGAAATTGTTATAGAGTTTTCTAGACTTGATGTTGAATTATGCTCTAGTCTTCTTTTTTAATGGGGGTAAACTCATGATGTGTCTTAATGACCCACATTCTATAAGGCATCAAGTAAGCCACTGTGAAGATAATTTTGAATGAAAACAGACTACAGATTATGGACTCTTCTCCCAGCTCTCAGGTGGAGCAGTGGTCCCCGGCTTGTGGTTTCCTGGTGAAGTTTGTGGTGGCATCTGGCTTCACAGAGGCCATTTCCACAGAAGAACTGCAAGTGTTGGAAGTGGAACAAATTCCGTCTGATTTCTTGCACGAGGCCCAGATCTTCCTATTTTTTCCATGGGTCGCTGAACATGTTTTATCAGCATACCGCTAATTGCAATGTGATTACTTCCCCTGGGAAGTAGGAACTTCAGACCTCCACAACCAACTCCTTGCATGAAAGCATGAGTTATGATTTCTGGGCCCTCGCCCACTATCAAAGTGTAGGCAGTATCGGCTATCAATTACAGCATGTGGACCCCACTCTTAGGAAGAGTTTGCGAGGCAGCGTTCAGAAAAAGGGGTTTGTGACAGGAAAAGACCCCTCCTTCCTCCTCCTCCTCTACCTGTTGCTGCTTGCTTAGCTGTCTTCCCTTCCACTGTCTTCTTTCTTTCTTGGTGTCCATGGCCCCCCCTAATCTCAAATGTTGGCTCTGGACTTAGCTTTCAACCATGGCCCTTCAGACTCAAGACTAATGTTACCTGCTGCTCAGGGTACAAGTAGCTTGAAAATAACTTTCACAAGCTGGCAGGCAAGCAACCGAGTTTAATTACTGGGCACATTTAGAACACATCTGTAAAGTATATGTGAAAAGTAATGTTTTTCCAATGTCCTGAAAAAGTTATCAAAATGAAAAAATATCTTCAGGATATGTGCTTGAAAAATTTTGACACCTATTTTTCCCTTCATGTGGCCATGGGAGATTGGGGTCCATGAGCTTGGAGGGGGGCCCCCGTAAGGACTTCAGACAGTGGAGCTTACGTATCAGCGCACGATAGGGGGTTGTTGGTCTATCTGCTCTTCACTGTCATTCTCACGTCACAGAGGGGGCCAGGGGCTTGGCTACACATCAAGTGTACTTTTGTGTTATAAAAGCAAGTGCTCCTCTTTCCCATGTTTGATTTTTTAATGCCGACTGCATCTTTTCATTTTTGCCTAACCAATTCTGCTTCTAAATCTGGACATAGCAACTGATACATGCTTTGTGAGGAAAGCTGTGAAGCAGTTTTTAAACCCATTTGACTTTGACTAAAAGGAAGAATTTCATACAACCTCATAACCTGCTACTCACACGCATGTGAAACTTATTATGGCTCGTCCTGTTTTTTGTGTCCTTCTATTCTATTCCATTGAAAAGATGTCAATGAGGTGGTAACTTGCTTTTGTAGCCTAATGTGAACCATCCAGATGCTGTCCTGTCTCTGCGTATTGGTCAGTTCTTCATCACCGTGACACGCTGTGTACAGTGTACAACTAAAGTGAGGGGAGAGCTATTTTGGCTCAGTGTTTTTCTGAGGTTTCAGTCTTGGTGGCCTGCTGCTTTCAGTCTGTGGAAGAGCATGGCAGAGGAAAGCTGCTCACTTCACAGCATTCAGGAAGCAGAAAGCAGAGAAAGAGCCTGAGAAGAAAGGACCGAGGACCACGTGCGATCTCTAAGGTTATGCCTCTATCAACAACCCAGAACGCTCGAAAGTATACACTCTTAATTTTGTAGACATCTTAATCCAGTCAGGTTGATAATCAAGATTAGCCTCCATGCTCGGTCTGCACATTTGTCCCCCAGTGTCTGCGGGGAATGGTTCTGGATTTAAAGTCTGTGATTTCTACAATATGCAGATACACAATTCCTTTCTATAAAATAGTGTAGAGTTTGCATATTGCCCGTGCATAGCTTCCCATAGACTTTAAATCATAGCTAGTTTATTAATAATGCCTAATGCAATATGAATGTTATATAAACCGCTGTCATCCTGCATTATTCAGGGAAGAAAAGCTTGCATGTGTTTAGTACAGTTGCAGTTTTTTCTCCCTGGTATGTTCAACCCATGGTGAGTTCCATGCATGGATGTGGAAGTTACGAACACAGAGGGTTGATTGTACGCAGTCTATGGAGAGCTTGGGCAAAAACGCTCGGCTGTACCAATGAGCTGTAGTGACCACGTGCGGGAGTGATGGGCAGAGACCCAGGGCACTGACTCTACTGACTGCTCCTCTCTGAGTTCAAGCTGTTATGAACTCTGACAGCAAGTAAAGGCCAGAAAGTCTCTCCTGCTCCTTCACACCCAGGAAGGGCCTTTTGACATGGGACAAGAGACAGCTGACCTCTAGGAGAGACCCCGCAGGCCACGTGCCTCTGAGAGACTGCTGCATTGGGCTGTGCCCTTCTTCAAATGAGAAATGTTCTCTGCCTGCTTGTTGGTCACGAACACTCACGGAGCTGCTTTCATGGGCCCAGACCCGCTCGGCCCGGAGTCTGTCCGCACCCTGATGTGGAGCAGCAGAGGGGCTGAGCTCTCCACACCGCTGCCGCCTTCCTCTGGAAACGTGATTTTATTCCTTTTGCCTGCACTGTCCTCTGGTACCTACTGCCCAGCCTCTGCCCCAGCCAGCTAGCTCTGGCCCGTGAAACAGCAGCTCTTGATTCTTGCTCTAATTACCAGCGCTTGACCTCGGGAGCGTCGTGGTTCCGTGTGTGCCCCACCTGTGCACACCATCGGAGCTTTGATGCTGTGCCAGCTTTGCCAGCCTGGGCCTTTTTCTCCACATTGAGACGAAGTCTTTCTGTCTGACTGTAGCACAGAACATTGCGTGGGATGCGCGCTAGCTCTGAGAGCTTCCCTCAAAGTTCCTGTGAATACCGTCGCGTCCTCTTGTCCCTCTGGAGGCTCTCTCTGGTGACTTTTCCTTTTACCCGGACATCACCTCTCTCCCGTGGTACTCCTGCAGGTGTGGAGCCAGGCTCTGTGAATACAGTGACTCAGTTCCAGCCCACTGCAGAAAGAGAGACATTTGTCGATCAGTACGGCACCGGTTGCCAACCAGCTAGCACAGATGTAATTCAGGGTGCGGAGGCAGTTCCCTGGAGGGTTTCTGTGGGGAACTCGTGGGTCCCAGAAGAGGAACCCAGTTGGTGGGGTTGCTGGGCCCAGGGTCAGTGGCTACTTACCAACCAGCATGGGAGTATTTCAGTATTTTCACACGTGAGTCAGCCAGCCTGATGCTCCTGGCTGAACAGATGACTCGGATGAAGCCCATTGTGATCACAGCTTTACATCTGGTATCTGTATAGCTAAGGACCTTTTCAACCCTAAGTATACAAAATGCTGAGCCATGCTCCTAGGAGGTACATTAGGGCAATTCTGATCCTGTGGTTGGTTTTTTCTGTTTGTTTGTTTTGCTGTTTTTGTTTTTTGTTCTTCTTCCTATACCAGGAATTGAACTCATGACCTTGCGCTTGCCAGGCAGGTGCTGTGGGGCTGAGCTAAATCCCCAGCCCCCTGTGATTGGTTTTTAAATTTTCAGAAGTCCATGGAAGACATGGACTTCTGTGGCTATTAGGTTTTTGAGCTTTACCCAGGCTGAAGTGGAAAGGATGAAAAACTGGCGAAGAGGAATAAGACTAGTCCATGATCTGATGCTTGCTCCATGGATGCAATATTAATGCTGCGTGCAACAAATCCAAATTGCCTTCTACTTCTGTAAGCCTCCTGGTTAATAATTTACTATTAAAAGGAGGTGCTGTCAGATATGCTACCAGAATATTCTGGGTACATTGCAGACTTACTTTACCAACATGGCTTGTTCGTTGGAAAGGAGAGTTAGCAAAGGATAGGAATCATTTTTCTAAGTAGGTCTTACGTACAAATCAGTGCCTGTACCTGGAGTCTGTGGGGAGTGGCCTAGCCCTAGCCACATGCATCCTTTCCAGAAGAGGCCACCAAAGTCAGGCTGGCAGGGTGATGACAGCTAGCTTTCTCTTGTTAGCTGTGTTGCAGCTACACCACCGACAGGGCTCTTGGCAGTAGCCGTGGCGACTTCCTGGTCTGCCATCTGTCTCCTGGCTGCTTGGCTTGGAGGACAGTCATTGTCAACTCCTGCATTTGCTTACAACATGCGTGACACCCTTTTCCGGCAAAACAGAAGGAGATCCACCCCAGAGACAGCCCTGTGCTAGCACCCACATCAGACATTTACCAAAACAGCAATATTTCGAATAGCTGCGGAGATATTTAGATGATAACGGTGTCTTCTGCTTTCTAAACCAGTCTTTTTATTAACCATTGCTGAATATTTCAGTTTTCTGTTCTCACTTGTCAACAAAGGGCTGCTGCACACCCATTACACTGCTCTGTCAGTAACACACTCCTGGTTAATCTCCTTTTATATGCTCTCCACCCAGGTAAGTTACATATTTCCAGTATTGCTTGTTGTTGTGGTTGTTGTTTGTTTGTCTGTTTGTCTTTTGAAGAGCTGACTCTGTTTAGTGAAGATGTGGTGGAATGGATCCATCATGATGATAACGGTTGAAGTTGCCTCTGCCTTTGAGTGTGGCTGGGCCATACTGCACTTAAAGGGGTGTGTATGAGAACATGGATAGAAGGAGTTACAGATAAAGCCAGACTGGAATTGTGTCATGACAGGCACTTCCACACAATCCCATTGGGTAGAGCGAGAATTTGAGGAAAAGAGATGTGGGAGGGATATGGTGGGCTCTAGGAAGGAATAAAATGCTATCTGAAAAAGAACAGAGAACATGGATGGTGTCGCACAACCCGAACAAGGATAGAATTACACATGCACACACAGTCACAAGAGCACAGGTGTGTGTGTGTGTGTGTGTGTGTGTGTGTGTGTGTGAGCCTTGGCAGGTAAATATGAATACTCCAAGCACAGCTTTAGTCCCATTGGCTAAAATCCGTCAACACTGAACTTTTATTAGTGTTTCCTGGAAACAGGTGATAACACCTGCACGAATTCCATGAATCAGTGCTTCCCAGAAGCCGTTGATCTCTTTTGTATGTCACATCCTAACAAGTATCCAGTCTAAATATTCTAGTTATGATTCTGTCAGGGTGGAACCGTGTTTCCACTTAATTCGAATGTGAATATTTCCAGAAAAGTCACACACACACACACAGAGACGCACAGACAAGCACCCATGAGTCTGCTGCATGCTCTCAGGCAAGTTTACAACATCTTCGGGGTGCCTTCCACACGCTCCTGACAGCACCCTCACAACTGAATGAAGCAAAAGCCTCACTCATACCTTTATTCATTCCACAAATAGCCACTTCACATCTAGTGTGCCTAGGATACTGCTAGAGGCACGACTTCCCTCTGGGTGAGCCCAGGGTGTGGGTGGGTGCAGGAGCAGGTGGCGGGGATTCAGAAGAGGCGGCCAAGTGGTACTGGCTCTGAGTCGCCCTCTAGGCTGCAGGCAGAGGGGCTTGGGCTTGGAGACGTGCAGAAGGTCCAGCAGAGAGGCAGAAGGCAGCATGGGCTCATCTTCCAGGGAGCTCCTGAGTTCACGCTCCAGCCCTTCACTTATCGGTGCCGGAGACCTTAGCAAGTCAGTATCTTTCCACCTCGGTCTGTGCTTGGTGTGTGCACAATGGCTCCCCGCTTCAGAGCAGCTGTGCGTTCAATGACACCTGGTCTAGGGGTTGGCGTTATCAGGATGGCTTTGGAAAAGCGGGACCTGCTGCCTCGTGGACTGAGAGGACTTAAGAGCAGCTCGCAGAGCATCTGAGGCTATGAGCCAGGAGCTGGAGGAGGGGCCCCCACTATGACACCATGCTCAGGGCCACTGCCAGCAGGTGGTGAGGGCTGGGGAGGCAGAGTGCTCTGAGCGTGGGAGAGGTGACCCCAGGAGAGGGAGGGTGCTGCCTGGCAGCAGCACGTCAAGGCGGACGGATGCAGACCTGTCCCAAAGGAACAAAGGGGCTTTGATTCCATTTCTTTGAATCCTAGGATTTCCAGAGAAGACCTTCAAAGTCATCTGTTCTTCTATTAACAATGTAAGGTTGAAAAGGGCGAGCCCAGGGTCACAGAGCTCTTCTGAGCCGGGGGGGCCGGCAGAGAACCTGGGTTTCTATGTTCCAGGCCCCCCATCCTCCTCCGCCTTTGCTGCCCGCCTTGTTTAGGGAATGAAATGATAAACGCGTCCCAAGCATCCACCCGCCCACTCTGTGCAAGGCAATGGACTGCTCGCTCTTGGACAAGGAGAGAAAGACTCTTGGCCAAGGGATAAATTGCTTCAGTGCTGCCATTCTGAACTGGGACTAAGGTGGTTACTTTATATGCAACCTCCTTGTAAGGTCAGAGAATGACAACACATTATTCACCCTGGGTTGTTTGCTAAGCAAACACACAGTTTGTATGTTGGCCGGAACCCAATGTTCAGTTTGAGAATTCTCGAATTGCAGCTTTCAGCGTTGTGGGCAAGAGTTAGCGATACAGAGACGTGATAAGGAGCCCAGCAGATGTATGCAAAGCTAACTGTTTGTTAATTGCGCGGGGCGGGGGAAGTGGTTTTGGCTGATGCATTTTTTTAAATGCCTTTCCTTGTGTTTGTAAAGGGGTTGCAAACGCAATGCCCCACGATGTGGCAATCTTCCGTTTTTTGAAGAACTTTCAAACTACCTTTCTTAACCCTATCCAAGTGATAGGGCACTTTGATGCTTTGAACAAAATGATCACTGATTAGAAATTCATGAAAATCAGAATTAGGACATTTGTAAGTTAGTAGCCATGAAGAGGTTAAGTGATTTACTCCCCAAAAGAAAGGTCTCTATTACCAAGAATGATGGGGCAAGTGTGTTCAAAGCTAGGGGAAGTATTTTAGATTTTGTTTGTTTGTTTGTTTTCTGGTACCGGGAATCAAACTCACGACCTTGCACTTGCCAGGCAGGAGCTGTGCCATTGAGCTAAATCCCCAGCCCCCAGTATTTTAGCTTTTTGAGGGACATTACTGGTAATGTGTCTTTTGGTGACACAGTGAAATAAAAATTTTAATTTCAACAAAAAGCCAAAAGATATGTCTCTTTTTGTAATGGTGTTTTCTATTTATTTCTAGGAGAAAATTTCAGTTGCATTTTATCCAAGGCTTAGTCTTTTTTTTTTGCTAGTGTGTATATGTTTTTGTTTCTTTATTACTTCGCAATGAACTCTTGAACTGATTTAAACTTGAAATGCTCAAAGTGAAGCTAAGGGACTGTTTTGCCTGAGTGTGTGACCCTTTAAGGGGACAACTGGGTGAAAAGCAAAGCGAAAAGATTTCTTAAGTTTGCCGAGACACAGCCGAGATACTGAGCAAATGACTCAATTTTCCTTTGCTTTAGTTTCCCCCATTTGTAAAACAATTTTAATAATACCTGGGACTGCTGCCTGTGAAATCATTTCATCCCCTCTGAAGAAATGAGCTATCAAAATATGTGATTAGGCAACACATAGCTTTTGATTTGTATGAGAGTGCCAGGTTTAAGCAATAATTTTTTGGCCAGTGTTCTGAAGGAAATAACTCAATTTTCACAATCCCTTGGGCTTACCAGCCCGTGATGACCACAATAGCTACATGCCTGAATAAAATACAAATTCTTCTCCAGCACGCTGGTTCTCAGTGTTCCGGGCAGCTCTATACATAGATGGTTGCTCGGCTTCACACTTTTGGAAGGGGAGTCGTGTCTCATCAGATACGCATTCCACAACATGACCTCAGGATTCATTTACCATCACAGTGACATTCTCAGCTGTGCACAAATCAAGTGCATGAAAGCAGAGCCCATCAGAAGTCGTTCCTGGCTGACTATCACCTTTCAAAGTATATGTGTATGTGAGAGAGCCCTCATCGGTCCCCAACTATTGTTAGAAATAATTAATGATGTATTATGAGATGCTTTTCATGCCAAAGAGTTCCAAACGCTTTGCAAATGCACATATAAACAGGAATTACTTCACCCGCCATTGAAATGCAACCACCTCTTGGCTGAGAGGAGGCAGCTGTTTAATAATGCATAGCAACATTCCAAAACAGCGGAGGCCTGGAAGACAGTGGCAAACTCACGTCCAGTTCAAGTCACCTGAGATGTTTCCTGGGCCGACTTGTGCTGTTAGGGAACTTTTGTAACCACAGGAGGCCAGGACATTAGTTTTATGCCTTCCTAGGAAAGCCAGCTCCCTCTGTTCAGCCCTGGCTCGTCACTTGCTAAATCATCCAGGTCGCAGGCCATGAGCTGGTCCTCTGAATGAAGGCCTACTTTCCACCTCGGCTGCTGGGGGAGGCTAGGCCATGGTGGCTTGAACCCTGCACCAGAATTTGGTTGTGAGAATGGTGCTTGGTAGTAGACTGCAGGAATGCATTTGGTCTGCAGAGCGTGTTCTCCATCTCCAGAAACATAACCCACAAATAGATCAACGGGAGCTAAACTGTGCTTCACAAGGACCTACTCCCTTGGGCTACATGATCTCAGATAAGATCCTGCAAAATCTTTCTTTCTGATTAGCAAAGGTGGTTTCTCCTTAGGACCAAAGAAGGACTCAGTTTATAAGTAGATTCTTCCTGTCTTGTTGTTGCATGCTGGGGGGCTTGGTGGTTCCTGGCTTGTATCTGCCTCACCTGGCCCTACTCAAGGCCTTGCAGTCATGGGTACACATAAAAGCATGTGCTTTGCCTACCCCAAACACTCTTATATGAACAAACAGGAGTCTGGGAAAACAGCACTGGGGATGATACCCATCAAACGTTTGTCTAGTCAGGGTCTTGGGTCACAGCATCGGCAAGTGAAGCCATTGCCTTTCCTGCCCCTCCCTGAGCACAGCATTTCTGTCTTCTCCAACACAGGACTATTCTGTCCATTCACCTGGTGACAGCTGATGACCATGGAAAATTCCATGTTTCCCAGCCAGGTCCAAATTAAACATTAACTTTACTAATTTTAAATTGTTTGCTCCATGACAAATTGTACCGTTTGGAGGACATTCTGAAGAAATATTTTGAGTGATCATTAAGGCACCTCTTCTCCTGTACAAGATTTCATGGGGGTGGGATTTTAGGGAGCAGGAGACATGTCTGCAGTCATTTTCTCTGGAGAGCAGCACCAGCCTCATCCCCAGGTACACTGTCACTAACCAGGCATTTGGATATACTGCAAGGACTCCATGATGCTATGAACTCATGCATACTTAGGTAGTTATCTGCTTTTTTCACCTGTCACATCCAACCACATGGAGTGGGACCCAAAATCACAGCATCGCTCAAAAACTAACTCCCTCCTGCTGACTTCCTGTTCCCTTTAGCGTGATCCCTAAGCATGGACACTAAGATCGCCCCCAAGCCCCGCCCTCAGCTGAGCCCAATATATCCTTTGCCTCTCTGCCCGTTCCTCAGAGGGTTCTTGTGTC